CTGGTGACTCATGCTGCTGGTTATGGGGTGAGCAGGTCTCCGTGGAGCTCGCACGGGATCCCAGCAATCCGGCGGGATCCAGGGATAGACTCTTGGGGTCTCTCCAGAAGGGACCCCTCGGGGCGAGGGGCAACCAGCCCCCCATCTCATTTTTAGATGCGGGTGGGCTGCATTGCTCGGAAACAATTCAGGGTGTTCCCCCTCCCTTGTGCCCCTGCAGGACCCGGGCATCCCGGCTGGAGCTCTGGGCATTATTTCCCACCCCGGAGTTGCTTGGCGCAAACACGGATGCGTGGGGAGCCTGGGGGGCACAGGAGGGACTGCTGCAGTGCAGGAGAGCGGTGCCGGAGGGAGCGTTGTGCGGGCGTCCCCGTGGGCAGGGGGTGAGTCGTGTGCCCCTGCGCTTGGCAGCTGCACCCTTGGGTGCTCCTCCTGGAAAGCCCCGGAGCGCTTTGCACGGCGCCATATGGCAGGGGGGGGGGGGGGCGGGGGGGGGAGGCCGTGGGACGGGGATGGGGCTGCCAGGATCTGCAGCTGGACCCACTCAAGGTCCCACGTGGCGCAAAATTTGCAAGATTTCAGAAAATGTCCCAAATATGTTCACCCGTGGTCTTCTCCAGCTGCCGAATCTCTAGGAGAAGGAGGACATGTTTCCTCTGTGATCATCAGAGACGGAAAGGTTCTTTGAGATGCCTGAGGCCACCTTGGCTTTCGGGGGCTGCCAGGATCTGCAGCTGGACCCACTCAAGGTCCCACGTGGCGCAAAATTTGCAAGATTTCAGAAAATGTCCCAAATATGTTCACCCGTGGTCTTCTCCAGCTGCCGAATCTCTAGGAGAAGGAGGACATGTTTCCTCTGTGATCATCAGAGACGGAAAGGTTCTTTGAGATGCCTGAGGCCACCTTGGCTTTCGCCAGATGAGGGTTTACCCTGGCTCCCTCCTCCGAACCGAACGGTCTCTTGTGGATGGGTGTCAATGCAAATGGAACTGGGGGTTTGCAGGGAAAAGCCAGACACTCCCTTGGGAGCAGACCCCTGCCAGGATGGGCCACCATCCTGGAACAAGCCCTGGCCTCCAGCATTGCCACCTTCCATGAGTGCTAGGGGAAGGAGGGTGGCAAGTCCCAACTGAGCAAGGGTGAGCTGAAGGAGTTGCCCAACTTCACGGGGGTGAGCTGAAGGACCTGGGGGACAAGGACAACATGATGGACTTCAAGGAGTACGTGGTCCTCCTGGGCTGCCTCAGAATGTTCTTCAACAGCCTCTGAGGCTTTGAGCAACCTGCTGTAGTGGAAGGTGTCCCTGCCCATGGCAGGGAGGTTGGAACTAGGTGATCTTGAAGGTCCTTTCAACCCAAACCATTCCATAATTCTGTGCTAAGGCTCATGGCCTCCTCAGTTGGCATGGAGCCTCAGCCCATGGCTGGAATAAAACTGTTGTCACCTCCCCAGCCCCACTGCAGAGCCCGTTTGTTTGCATGGGGGTTGCCAGGATGGGAGCACTTGGGACTGTCTTGTGGAGACCAGGGCCACCCGGACAGCTGGTGATGCGGGGGCAGTGATGGCTTAGGTGGAGACATGGGCTGGTGACCAGTGCTCTCTGGGGAGCCCCAAGGGATGTCCCAGTCCTTCCCAGTCCCTGTGTCCATCCCTTGGCTTGTGCCTGGGTCCTCAGACTCCCCAGTGGGGCTGGCAGCTCCTCCCAGTAGCACCCAAATCCACCCGCCTCCCACTAATGGCATCACACAGCTCGTTAGGCAAAAATGAGGCGCGGGTGAAACCACCTGCATGGAGCTGCTGGGAAAGCCTGGAGGCGAGGGGGGCTGCGCGGGGCACGCGGGGCAGTGCCACTCTGGCTGAGCTATAAATGCCCATCGCACTCCGGCTGCAGCACCCTAGCTCCTCGCTGCTGCCTGATCTGCTCCAACACCGGTGAGTCTCTGCTCCTCTTCCTCATGCATCGCGTTGCTCCCTGGTTGCGGTTCTCCCAGCAATCGCTGCACCCCAAAACACCACCCCGAGAGGCACCGGGGTTGCAGTCACCCCTCTGTAGCTTTGCAGACCGATTTGGGCAGGATCATAGGATCCTGGAATGGTTGGGTTGGAAGGGACCTTCAAGACCATCTAGTTCCAAGCTCCCTGCCATGGGCAGAGTCAAGGGTAACGGACCCCCATTATAGCCCTGACCCCATCCCTGGTGCTCTGCCCTCCAGGCGTGCGGGAAGCTGGCGATGGCGTGTCCCCTGGAGCAGGCGCTGGCCGTGATGGTCACCACCTTCCACAAGTACTCAGGGAAGGAAGGGGACAAGTACAAACTCAGCAAGATGGAGCTCAAGGAGCTGTTGAACAAGGAGCTGCCCGTCTTCGGGAGCGTAAGTGGCCGTGGGGGCACATCCCTTTGCGTCCCTCGGAGGTGCCCAGGTGTTGGTGGGAGCTGTTGTAGGAGCAGGAGCAAACCCATCTTGGGTCTTTCCGCATAGCAGGGTGAGCTGAGGTGGTCTCCAAGTTTCCTGGGGAGAAGGCGGGACGAGGCCAGGAGGACCTGAGCTGGAGCATGCTCAGACCGAAAGGAAACTTGGCTTTCTTATACCTGCAGAAATATTTTGATTGGCAAAGGAAATCATGCTCCGACTTCCATTTTTTTAATGCATTTTTAACTCCCTCTTCCCCTTCTGCCTGGTGATTGAAACTGGGAGAAATTTTTTAGCCAAATCTTTTCATGACCGAGAGGCATGTTGGCTGTGGCCGTGCCAGCGTGCCCCACGTCACCGCTAAGCCACCCGCCTTTCTAAAGGCCACCACCTTCCAAAAGCAAAGAGAAAACCCTCCTTCAGGGCAGGGGGAGGGAAGCCCAGGCTTTCCACATCCTTCCTTGCAAGCAGCGGGGCTGGATGGGGAAGCACCTCACTCATCCACGCACCCTGAAACCGCTTACCCCCGCCGCGCTCTCCCCCCTCGCAGAAGCAAATGGATGAGGTGGAGTTCAAGAGGCTCATGAACGACTTGGACCACAACAAGGACAGCGAGGTGGACTTTAAGGAGTACGTCTGCTTCCTGGCTTGCATCACCATGGGCTTCAACGAGTTCTTCAAGGACGACCTCCCCAAGCACCCCCGCAAGAAGTGACCCTCCCACTGCTCACAGCGTCGCCGTGGGGCTTTCAATAAAAGCTTTCCCAAAGCCTGGGTGCGCATCAGCGGGTTTTGTGCGCCGTAGGTTAAGGGACCGTTGGATGACTCATGTCTTCCTCCAGCTCCGTGGGATTTTCCACGGTGCGACTCAGGCCCGGGAGGCATTTTTTGGAAAAGTCTGAGCAAAACAGCTCAGCGCCGCCTCCACTCTCTGAGTGGACACCACCCCCCAAACCATCCTTTCTGGCTCGGGGAGAGGTTCAGTGCACATTTAGCTCAAAACATATGAGCTTCCCCGAGCCCAGCTCGGCTCACAGGTCAGCATGAGCTGCCCTGGGCAACGCGTTGGCTTTGGGGAGAGAAAGCTGGTCTGGAGGAACCGGACAGCGAGGTGCGAGGTCCTTGGAAGGCACAAAAGCCAGAGGGTGTCCCCAGTTCCCGCAGAGGTGAGCTCTTTCTGAGCGGCTGGAGAAGACCCTTGGCCCATGCTGGGGGATTGCAGTGGAAAAGGTCAACTTGAGCCCCCCAGGTTGACCACAGAGCCGTGGGGCTGCAGACAAGTGGTGGTTTCCTGAGCACATCAGCTTGTGATACTCATTGGGAAGGACGGGGCTCCCCTCCACCCACCTCCCCAGAGCCACGGCAGGTCCCGGCGTGCCTGGGCTGGTTTGCGGAAGGCGCTGCAGCTGCTCTCCAGCTTTCCCCAGGGGCCCCAAAACCCCAGAGAAACCACCCCAGATCCAAAACGCCCTTACAAAACCTCAGTGTCGTGGTGTGGCAGAGCAGACCCTTGGCAGAACCTGTCCCCAGGTCCTCCCAGAGCCTCCCAAGTCCTTCCAGCATCTCCCAACTTCCCTCTGCCCCTTCACAAGGTCTTTATAAACAACCCCTGGGAGCTTCTGCCCCCTCCCAGTAACTGACACCAGTTTGCACTTGCTAAAAGCGAGGCAAGGGTTAGGCTCGGGGGTTTCTTTTACCAAAATGGTCCTTAATTTCTTTATTCTCCCAACCTGGAAGTGGCATTTGTTGAGGTTTTGCATCCCACTGGGCATCGGAGCAACTCGGAGCCGTTAGAGGGGCTTCATCCCCAGTTTTTCTCACTCCAGACCCCAGCAGTGGGTGCTGTTGTCCCGGGGGGGGCTCAGCCAGGCTTGGGGACACTCAGGGTGTTTGTCAGCCCTTGCACTGCGGCGAGAGGCTGGCTTTTCCCGTGGCCAGGGGGTTGCAAACTGATGGCTCCTGGCTTTCCCCTGCAGCCACCCGACACGTGCCCGGGACATGCGGACACCGAAATAGCGCTCCGTTACACAACAGGGCCTTGTGACGCGCTGCCCTCGCAGTTAGGAAACAGAAATCGCTTGGAGTCGAGTTAAAAACAGAAAAAAAAAACCTCACCCAGACCCAAACCTCAGCACAACAACAAAGCCGCGGACAAACCCCGCTCGAGTTCGTGCGGCTCCAGAAATCCCTGGGGATGCTGCCAAAAATCATCGCGTGCGGCATCTCGCCCCTCACCGGCATCGCGAGGAGGTGCCCGCCACTGCCCCTGCTTCATCCCACATCCCTGGGGATCCTCCTCAACCAGGTGGTCCCCATCCAGCCCCGGGGGCAGGTTTTCCTCTTTCTAACCCAAACCAACCCCCTTGGCAGGGAAGGAGCAGGACATGCCGGGAGGGCCAAGG